AATATATATATATATATATATATATATATATACATATATAAATTTATAAATATTTACTTGACCAGATGTTTGACAGTGACAGTTTAGCAAAATAAAAAATCTCATTCGTCAAAGACCAAAATAAAGTTCACTGACTAAAACTTATCCGATAAAAAACCAAGTAAAGTACGCATTTATTTCAAGTTTTTTTTATTTCACCGCAGAATTTTACAGCCATATTTTTCTGAAAGAGGCCGGTCTCCTTGCTTGAATATTATAACAGAGCTCCAGAAAACCTTCACGAAACAAAAGCTTCCCTAACCAGTATAGATCCCTGTAGTATTAAATTATATTTAAAGACAAGCCCATTCTTACAACAATCATTTACATTGATATAACTGTGCAAGAAGGGCATTGTACAAATAATATAAAACACGAAGTTACAGCAGTATATTATCCGCGTTGCTGTTCGGACTATCTTATGCGGTGGTTTTTAATTTTTTTTTACTTAAGAAGTATTATTACATATGTACACTATAATCCAGTTTTATTTGTCTATTTTGTGTATAAATCACATACACAAGAAAAGAGAAACTGTCAGTCTATCATTATCGTTAGTTATATGCAAGAAATAAATTATCATTACTGCTAACAACAGAAACAAAGTTGTCCTAACATGATAAAGGAAAATTCAGCTACAAAGGCACTGCAAACTTAGGCCATGGGTCAGATATGATCTCAGTGCATCCCCTCCCACATAAAAGTATAAGACAAGTAGTTTTTAGTTCCTTAGAGTCCATTCAACATGAAAAAGATGTTAACAGTAAATATCTTGTGATAAATTACCTACTTAGACAGGAGGGGTCGTGCAACCTGCGACAGGTTTTTGGCACTCTAGAAAACAAGGAGTTTTATAGCTTCTGGGTCTATTTTTCAAGGCCCAGCCTGGCCAGGTGATTAGGGCGTTCGACTCGCAATCGGAGGGTCGCGGGTTCGAATCCCCATCCCACCAAATATGCTCGTCCTTTTAGCCGTGGGGGCGTTATAATGTGACTGTTGGTAAAAGAGTTGGCGGTGGGTGGTGATGACTAGTTGCCTTCCCTAGTCTTACACTACTAAATTAGGGACGGCTAGCGCAGATAGCCCTCGTGTAGCTTTGCGCGAAATTTATAACAAACAAACAAACTATTTTTCAATGTTGTAGAAATGATGACTGTTAATAATTAATATATCTAGAAAGAGAGAACATTTCCGTCAAAATGACATATTATTACTCCACATAATGATAAAGTATCACCACAGAGTAGCTTCTAGAAGTATATACTAAAATATCGCTCATGCCTGTTTTGCGTTAAAACCACGATTTTAACCAATGAACATATAATGGTATTTTGTTATTTAGTGAGGATTAATGTTAAGTACCAAAAGAAAAAACTTAAGTGTATTTTTTGTTGGAGTTTTATTTTAAAATATAATAAATATCCACCTTTTCACATAAAGATATACAAATTTTGAAGTCAATTTCCAGATCCTTATCTGTGGCTACATGTGCCAATAATAATTTAGCAGGTTTCATCACCATTGATTCTCCCATGCAAAATGAATATCAACTTGCTTGGAAAATGTTTCTTAATCCTGGTTCCTACAAGGCGTTTATATTCAGCTTGTATGTTTATAACACAATATACTAATCTAATATTTATACCATTTTCCGCAATATAGGTGTGAAATGAAAAAAGTTTGTAGTTGTGCGCATCAGAAGTTCGGATAGTGATGTATTCGTCATAACCCTACACCATGCGGCACATTTTATGATAGATATACTGTTTGACACAGGCACTTAAAATAAAAAGAGGCTCGTCAACACAACAGAACTTGCCCGGGGATACAGTCAAGAGTCTTGTACTACTCTCATGGCTCTATATATGTTCACGCTTTGTGACACAAGGGCTTTAAAGGGTATTGGTAAAGTGTGACCAATCAAACTCCTTCACAGGATGCCTGCACCCCAAGAAGTTCTTGGTAAACTAGGGAGTTTATGGACTGTTCCATATCATGTAGAGACATGCTTGGAATAGTTGACATGTACGATGTATGGCAAACCACGCTACAAAAGAGTTGATGCTTTGCTCTTTGCTGCTTTCAAGGAGGGATGTGGAGGGCCTGATGGCAGTATAAGTCTTAAACGGAACATCGACCTTAGTCAGCTACCTCCTTGTAGGAAAGTGTTACGTCAGCACATTAAACTTACAAGGTTGGCATCCAGAAGTCTGCCAATGTCCCTCCACCAGTTATATCAAGGCCAACAGAAGAGCAAGGTTGGAAGGTTGTCAATGGAAAGTTGGAACCTCTGGGTTTGTAGGACATATCATTCCGACAGAAATCGCTAAAGAAGATATTAACGGGGAAAATGGCGACCCAAGCTCTTCCGATGAAGGCTCACATCACAGCAACTTAATCGAGATAGATGATAATTTGCTGTCAGATGATATGGCCAGAGATGAGTATTGAAGAACTTTCCTGATTATGTATAAACGTTGCAGATATAGGCATACTATGCTGATAATTTAAAATATTTCCGTTAATATTATATGTGATACATTTCAGTCAATTAGTGATTGACTTAAATTGTATGTTATTATTATTATCTTTATTTGTTTTTGTTCAATTTTTCTATTATTTGTGATGCATTTCATTTAAGATCTTTCATTCATATTTAGCTTTGTTTTTTGTTCAAATGGTTGTTTTTATGAAAATGTTGAAACGTGCACTTTTCGTTTATTGAGAAATGTCATACCTTCACTTTCATATATTCGCAACCCATATTCATGATATAAAATTTTAATTCTCGCTAACTAAAAAATAACATTATATGTTCATTAGTTAAAGTCGTGATTTTAATGCATGAGCGATATTGTAGTATGTATTTTTAGAAGCTGCTCTGTGGTGATACTTTATCGTAAATGGACCGATAATATATCATTTTAAAGGAAAATGTTTTCTCTTTCAAGTTATATTAATCATTAACAGTCATCGTTTCTACAACATTGAAAAATAGGCTCAGAAACTATGATATATCTTGTTTTCTAGAGTACCAAAAACTTATCAAAGGTTACACGACCCCTCCTATCAAAACAGGGTCTAAACAGGTAGTTTATCACAAGATATTTATTTTTAACTTTTTTTTCTTGTTGAATAGACTCTAAGGAATATATATATATACTGATCTTACCTGTTATGGGGGAGTGGGGTGCACGGTGACCATATCTGGCCCATAGACTAACTGATTTTACTATTGCTCTTCACATACGCAAGACAAACGTTTCGCATCTGAGGTGAATCTGATGACTGTAAATAAGTGCATAAAAACAACAACGCCAAAAGAGACGGACATATCACCATGATACGATACAGATTACCAAAGGAAACTCAACAATAGTCAAACTCCTAGCTTGTTGAGAGTAAACCAACGGTTTATTGACCCCTTTTACGAACCAAAGGCAAGATCAGATCCTACAAGGTATAAAAGCCTCCAGTGCACAATGGTAAGTCAGCGGATTTATAACGCCAGAAACTGGGTTTTAATATCTGGTGGACACAGCACAGATAGTCCATTGTGTAGCTTTGCACTTAACTACAAACAAACAAACGTTGAAAAGCGGAACACACATAAACAAACACACAAACTCTGGAA